TTCTCCACATTTTTCTGAGAAACTCATCTTGTAAAAATACTATCTCTTTCATCTTTTGTGGAGAGCTAGTGGAATCTAGGTTTTTCTCTTAATGCTGCACTCAAAGACCCAAGAAAACAGTATTTGACTTTGCAGTTGTTGTATGCCTCACAGAAGAGGCATCCAATGCCAGGGACGACTTACCACAGCAACAGTGTGGTTAAGGATGGATTCTGTTCAGGAAAGGGAAGATGTGCTTGTTTTTCCTTAAGTAAAAGCAAGAAAACTGTAAGCATGGGAAATGATATAGAAGTGTGTACTAAAAAAATATGTACTAAACTGACTTTGTAGACTTTCAGAATAAGCCAGATCTCTGAGTGCTTGTGAGTTTGCCAGCATCATTTGCGGTTTCTTGCCATTTCAACGTAAAGGACTGATTGCTAGAGAGGGAATAAGGTCCCTGTAGCAAAGCATTGTCTTTGATACACAGTGGGAAAAAAATTGATATTGTCCTACATTTTTCCCCTCAGGAGCTATCAGGTATGTCCATATTCAGATAATTTCTTTGGGGTTTCTGTAGAAAAAATGTTGCCTCTCCCCCAGAAGATGTAGATTAGGATTTCCTTTTTCTGGAATGTTAAGTACATTCTAATCAAGTAAATAGCAGTTTGGATTGAAAAATTTTCTCATAATATTTCTAAAACTCAAAAAGAAGAATCTTCAATAGCATCTGGAAAAATAACTGAGCACTCAGGGTTAAAAGACCTAAACCTTTGTAATTCAGATCTAAGGCTTTGTAATTCAGCATCAACTTCTTCTTACAGTCCTTGGAGAGAATATCTTCTTTATCACTCATAAAGTGATGGCTGAATTTTATTTGCTTTAGTCTAAAATAAGCTTTTGATATCCCTGGGTTTTTTTTCCATTGTGTCATATGAGGGGGCCACAGAAGACTCTGCTCAGCAATTTGTTTTTAAAGTAGGCAAGATAATAAAATTTTCATAGTGTATTCCCTCCAAGTGCTGAAATATCTGGGTTCCTCTCCACTTCATGCTCTGACCTCTTCTCAAAAGAGGACATTGATAGTGCACAGCTTTGGCACGACACCCAAAGGCACCTCCCCAAACCTAAACACAGCTGCTTGGTCTAAATTTAGATCTACTGACCCTTTGACAGCTATGGGGAACTATGTACATTGGTGTAAAATGTTGCTCAAGGCATCATCATAGTAGCTGAATGTTCCCTGGAAAAGTCCCTGTGTCCATTCACTGGTAGTGAAGGCACAGCACATTGTTAACATGCATGGACTTATTAACACAGATGGACTTGCAAGGGCCTGACCCTGAGACAGGGTAGCTCTGTGCCACTCCAGGCACAAAAATAAGGACATGCAAGCAGCTCACTGAGCTGGTACATGGAAAGGGGAGGGTTTGCAAAGAAAGGCTAACTTTGCATTCAGGGCAAGGCAAATTTAGGTTCTCTGAAGGAATATACAAAATAGTTCATCTCCCTGCCTTTCCCTAAACCACAGAACCAAGGCACTTCATTGCTCCCAAGTGATAGTTTTGTTCTTCAGGTCAGTGACTGTTGCCTTCATCTGGTACCTGATCAATACCCTCTTTGCATGTTCAGATTTCACATACTTTTCTCTTGGTCGAACAAGCTTAAAACTTGCCTTCTAACTACAGTTCACATTATTTATATGTAATTTATCACCTTGTCTGGTTTTAATTGTGTTGCTGCACTTTTTAAACCCTTTGCCTTATTAAGGGATGCCCACAGTAATTCCAGATAAGGACAACATCTAGCCATTGACAGCATGGCTTCATGGATGACCCTGGCTATCTCTTCCATCTTGTGGAGCTTCTGGTCTGCCTGTTGTATCTCAATATAGCCATTTGTCTTCTTCACTAATGTTTGCAGGTGCATAGTCCTTTCATGTTCTCCCAGCTGCCACATGTGACTGCCTTTAGCTAGAGTTTTGTTGCATTAGCTGAGGATGGGTTAACACCCATGACTTTCACTAAAGCATGCTTTGTGGAAGGATTAGAGAAGGGAAGTGCCTTATAAATGTTAGGATATCATATATCTGAGTCTGTGCTTTTCTTGGATAACTGTTGCTGTGTGGGGAAGAGCATAAGCCACAATGATTATGTCTGCAGTCTTTTTGGAGAACGCAGTTTTGGAGGTTCCAGTCTCAGCACATAAACATGTGTGTTCACGAACACAGGTGAGCTGAGAATGTTTTTAAGTATGGTAGTGTTTTTACCTCACTGTTGTGTGTTGTTACTTAAGGTTACTTTGCTTTTTAAAAATTTCCTGCTAAGAGCCCTTTTACTACTCACTTATCCTTTAATGCCCATATTTTAAAAAATCTGGTGAAAGGAGAAGAGACAAAAAATTTTAGGATGAAAAATACTGTTCTTACTATCATTTGTCAGCAAATCTTTCTCTTGAGTTTGAAAGTGTTCCCAGCTTACTTCTCAAAGCAGAGAAGTGTTAATAAAGTCTGTTACCAGCATATGTCCAGCAGTTCCTTTAGATTCTCCATCATGCAGAAAAGATGCAGAGAATTTCCAGTGTAGGAAGCATGGATCAAACATACATGTAGAACTTGAGAAACAGGTTTGGTATAGCATTTCCTGACAGTGCTCTTTCTCTTGCCTTTAAAATTCAGTTTCACTTGTACTTCAGATGATGAACATCAAGCAGCCAGGTAGTTAACTGTCCTTTGGAAAAACAACTTGACTCCAGTACAAGTTGTACCAGGAAGTGTCACAACAAAGACAAGAAATATGAACTAGACCAGCCCCTTGGTTTGGTTACAGGTCATTTCCTACTGAAACACAAACTTAGAAAGATACATAAAAGGCATGTATCTTCAGGTGTATATTTGAGGGTATTTATTGAATCTACTATTAACCAATGCATCTTTACTGGTCCTTTAGAAAATTCCTGTAAGTAATTAACAGGATGCTACTGCGAGAATGCACAGTGGAGCAAAAGTCACTTTTTGTACCTAGAGAGGATGTACTTTGTTGGTTGTTTTGTTCACTTGCTTGATTCTGTACAGTTTGATTTCATTGCAGCCCCTAGAAAAACATGTTGATGTGCTTTGCAGTGAAGCACAGATCCCTGCTCCTTTCTACTGAGGAAAGGCTGTGCATGTTGACAGGCGCTGGTGCTGGTTCATGGGGTGGGCACCTCCCCCAGACAGCAGCAGAGAGAAGTAGCAGTCATGGGTGATGACATGGGTGGAGCTCCTCTCACCAGTTGTCCCATGGGAGATAGCTTATCTGTGGACGCCTGTGTTTCTGGAATAATATCCATTTGATTGAAAGCCAGAATTAGAGTAGGGAAGAAATTGGCTGCCAAGGGCTGATTGGCACTTGGAGTCAAAGGAAGCAGCATGGACCCTGCAGTGAGGATCTCCTTATCCGTCAGCACCAGCCTCTCTACCTGCAGGTGTGCCCCACCAGTTCCTGCTACTGCTCTTCCTTCTGTTATTTTTGTTTCTATTTGAGAATGCCCTCTAACTTTCAGCATTTTACAGAGACACACCACAAACACTTGATTAGCACTGCCAATGCAGTGCAATATGTAGAAAGGAGGGAGCAGAAGAGTAATTTTTAAGAGCACTTGAGTGCATCTGCTTTTTCTGTATCTAAATAAACAGTTTGATTAGTCCTATCTCTGTTCTGTTGTGTCATCTGAAATATACTGAAGAAGAGCTCAAGGCATTGCATTATGGTTCCTCTGCCCAGACCTTTCATTGTCATTTTTCATATCTACACAATTCTTCTTGTTGCTTCAGAGCTCATAAGGGAAAGATACTATTAATGGAAACATAATTTGAGTTAAAGAACTGGTCATCGTTGTTTGTTGTCAAGTCTAGATGGTGAATAATGACTCCTTAAATATTCTGTGAAAAGACAACTTTTATTTCTGAGAATGGCATCTTCCACCTGCAGTGCTTTTGTAGGGTGAGAACGGAGCTGATACCACAGTAAATGACCATGATATAAAAAGGAAAGGGGGAAGGATTTCAGTGCACAAAACCAAGTGCTAAAATTTTCATATGCTGTTACAGAACAGAATAGCCATTATGTGTTTTATCAGAAACAGGTGGGATTGCTGACAATATTGTTTTCTGAGTACCTGTGTAAACAAGAAGAGATCCTATCTGCATTTATTGACACATGTTGGCATGCAGAGGTGATTTATTTTGCCCTGATAACTGGGGTTTCTTCATCTTATTCTGCCTTTTTAGCAACATTTTTATCATTTGTTAGAAAGGATGGTGTTAAAGTTTTTTTTCCTCACTGTTACAGTGATGAGGTTCAAATCAGTCAGGTAAGATTGCTGGTTAAATAGTTATGCTGTCTTCATGAGGACTCTTGGATTTTAAAGCTAAAGTTGATTTGTAAGCATCAACTAATATTAACAAAATACTTCTGACTTGTCTTGGAATAAAAAGTGAATGATGAAAACAAAAAATTACAGGCACCCAAACTATTTGCAGACACTTGAAGAGAAATCTCTCACTGCTCTTGGCTATAAAGTGCAAACAAGATATTTCATGACAAAAAACCAAACTATCAGGATTATTTTCAAAGTCTAAAGGATAAGTTCTTAAAGGCAGGTATATGCCACAAGATACAATTTAGTACTTACTGGGGTAAAAGGTCAAATCCCATTAAAAATCAAGGAACTGTATTGTTTAAATGCCTCAGAAGCTTCAGTGTGATTTGTCTTTGTCTGCTGCTCTTCAAATACCTTTGATAGCCAGATCTTATGCTTTTTTACTTCTTTAAAAATCCCACTGGAGAAAACTATGACTTGGGAGGTGAATACTCCCTTATGGAATTATGGCCCAGGTGCTTAGACCTATGCCATTGCCAAAGTTTCACAAAACTGAAAGCATTTTACAGCTGGGAGAGACTCTCCTAGCTAAAAAATAAGGTAAATTGGCAGTGAATTATAAACAAATTACTAATTGTTCCAATGCATCTTTTTTCCAGCTGCCTATTTCTCTGTCCTGCGAAAGCCACCCTCTACATCCAGTTTTCCAGGAGGTCTGTTTGGTTTCTCCTTTCTGCTTACTATCAACTCACTCATTGCAAAATGCCTCCCTTCCCTCCATGTTGCTCAGCTCTTTCCAGGGAAGTAGGATGCTGTCTGCTCTCATACCATCCTGCTTTCATGACTGCCCCGGCCCAGGTCTGACATGGAGCCAGGAATGCTGCTCTTCAGTGATAAATTATATCATCACCTCTCTCCCCTTTGACATATCAATTTATTTTTTAAGACTTGTGTAAATCACCTTTAACCATAGGATACTGAACAAATGTTTCAACACTAATTTCAAATACTCTTCAGAAAATCCCAAGTGAAATTTCCAGGAAACATAAGAGACCACAAGGGACCCAGCCAGTGCCCTGCTTTTGGGTAATTTTTCCACATTCCGGATAGGTAAAAAAGGAGTGGGGGAAAGCTGTCAGTTCAGTGACATTAAAGAACTCCACACCCCTTCTATAGAAAAAAGTGTCTGTATTAAACACCCCTTAACGGTGATAATGTGTACAAAGGGAATAAAATACAGAGCTTTTTAAGGTCCTCTTCAATCAAATAGAAGTAAATTAATTAATGATATACCATTAATAGTGTTAGAAGAGCCAATGAGAAATTGTTACCATGAGTTATTTTAATGCTAGTTAATGAATGCATATGTGTATACATAGCTATGGATGTGCACAGAAGTTATTTTCTACAGAAAACTGTATCGGGTAACACTTTCAGAAAGCCATAAAAAGTCTGAGTACATTCATAATTAGTCCACATGAAAAATACAGTTTACAAGTGTTGGAACCCAAAATGTCCCTCAGACATTTTTAGAGGTTCCAAGCCTTAGTCAGAAGCATTTTAGACCCTGACAAGCAGCTGAAAACAGCTGTGATTTTAAGTTTGAACCATAGAATGAATTACCAACTTTGAAGGTAGAACAAGCAGTCACAGAGGGTTAGATGGTATAGTAAAAGTAGTCACAAATTAGAAGAGAAATTTTTTTAGTATTATACAGGGGGGTTTTAATACCTGTACAGGGGGGTTTTACTTTGTACAGGGGGGTCAAGAGTTCTAAGATAGAGGAAAGTAGGCCTAATCCTATTCTTCCTCCTTCTTCTTCCTTACCTCCATGTTCTTAGTGATGTTGGCATTCCCAGATTAGTTTAGAGTAAAAAAGCACATTGTAACATAAATAGTAAGTATTGAGGAAAATCTATAAACATATAACACATAATATATCATATAAAAGATAGTAGCAGCCTTGGGCGGGGTGAGAGACGACAGAGACACCAGACAGTGAGGGTGTCAAGAAAGTGTGTGCCTCTACCTAGGCCGCTGACCAAAGCAGCCGCAGCGGGCAAAGACAATCTTTTAAATAGCTAGCAATAACCTACCTTAAGACCAAACAACAAGAAACTGCGAAGTTTTTCTTTAAAAGCACAAGTTAGAAAAGAGACTTTACCACCACACGAGACCCCTAAATCAATCCCAAAGTTCTCACATACAAGTATTTTTCACATTGTTGTTGCTCCATAAGTGATTTCTCCACTATACCAAGGGAGGGGCAATAATTACTCTCAGAAAAGTAGAAAACACTTATATTTCCAGTATAAGTGCCGATTGGGGAAAAAAAAAAAAAAAAAGTATACCCTGCATTCCCTATTATTCAGATTTCATAAAATTCCTTAGCTGTTCTGCTGGAGTGATTTCTCTCTCCTGTCATGTCTCCTGCATCAGTGGGGCTCTTTTCACTAGTTCTCGTATTGCACACACAGAACAGAATAGGGTGAGGGTTTTTTTGTTAATTAGACCTATAAAATTTCTGTGCGGACCCAGGGTGAGTCAGGTGCCCTCAACGTCCATCAGCTCTCATTGGCAAAGTGAACCCTGCATATGAACTGAAGCCCTGCCATGAGCTGTACTGCCAAAAGGATGCACATCCTGGGCACTCAGCCTAGCCTGCACGGGGATATTCATTGAGCAGTACAGCTCCAGCAGTCCAGGACATAGCTGTGGAGAGCTTTAGTGAATATTGGCTTGATCAATATCCCTGTCGTTGCTTATGTCAAGTCATGAACTCCAGCATTACCTGTATCAGCATGCCCAATGGCATGGTAATTTGTATGTGGCTACTCATAATATGCAAGAGATAATATATTTGTACAACTGTTCTTTGTAAATACATTGTGAGGACAAACCTTAGAAATACAAACCAAAAACATGCCACTATACACAACAAAAAATACATATATATGTAAACCTGAACTCTCTCTTCTTCCATTGCATAAGACCAGCAGGTGTAAGAATAAAACAACACAATTTCACTTTTTATAACTGCAGAGACTAGAAACAAGAATATGCAAGAGATTTCTGTCACAGAAAAAGGGCATACTGGCAAAAAATAATTTCTGAGGAAGCTGAACTGTCAGGGCCTGCATTGACCCTTTTGAGACAAGAGTTAGCAAGAGTTCCTCCTGACTTCAGCAGGAATTACTACACAAGAAAGGGGAATACCCAAGAGCACATTATGCTTCTAGAAAACACGATAAAACATGTTGGCTGCTTTGGAAGAAAAGGGCATTTACACAAATGCGAATTTTTCTAGACAAGTCAGGATTCCCCTGCCAGCTGTCCTTCTCCTGTTCCTCCTTCATCCTAAAATGCTTATGTTGCTTCTGTGATAAGTTTTGTCTTTCTCCTTGGTATTTGTCTTATAGCAATAGTGCCATCTTCTTTTACATTTACTGCTAGCAGTACCACAAACCAGCATCCTGTTTGCCTTCTTTATTGCAGCTGCATACGGGGCGGAAGGCTTTAGGGACTTTCATGCAATAATTCCCAAATCTTTTTCCAGTAAGTATACTGAAACTCAGTTCACTACAGAGCATTTCCATCTAGTTCCTAATTTTATGATTTTTTTGTTATTGTCATTTCATTTCTGAGTAATGTATGTTTGTCTGCATTCACTTAAGTAGTTTGATGTTTTTGCTTTGTTCGTGTGTATTTTGTTTTAACTCAACAGAAAATCTGCTTCAAAAGCCACCTTCTCCAAATCCCTGGCAGGCAAGGAGTCTATAATTGTTTAGTAAAAATATATATTTATTATTCTTACAGCTGAAAGGAAAAAAATTATATGTGAATTGTGGGAAATTCTGTTACATACTCAAGCCAAATATTTATATTGCTTCTATTTGCCATGGTGAAAACAGCAGTATGAGGTTGTAGCCCATTAAATTTGCAGAATCAGTTCTGTTTAACCAGTCATACCATCTTTTTAAGTCATTGTTTGGTCATTGATTTTTTTGGTATATCACAAAATTATTCCCCTTTTTAAAACATACATTTTAAAGGAAAACTGCTATTTATGATATGCACTTATTCTGTTTTGCATATGATTTCTGTTAAAATGCAACACTTGAAAAAACAGTAAAATACCTAGATTGGTAGACCTTTTAAAAGGTGTCCAGTCAAGCAGTATTCATAAATGTGAACACCTTTAGGCTTCTGTTTCCCAGTAGGATTTTGAGTCAGATACTCTTGTCAGTTACATCCATGCAGTCCTTCTGGAACATCTGTGGGGTTGCAGGATGTATCAGAGAAGAGCTTGTCTATCCCCTCCATTTCAAAGGAATATCAAGGTCTTTCAATCTCAAGGTAATTATTGCCTGTAGCTTTTTGTTTTCACATTGCTACACCATCACTTTGAATGAGGTTGCCATAAAACTGTTGCTCCACAACTTTATTGGGTGAAATAGATTCCTCATGGTCTTAGCTACCTACAGAAGTAAAATCTTTTTTTTTTTTTTTTTTTGGGTAGGGTGGGATGAAGGTAGAAGGGTTTTTACTGTATGGAAAGTAAGATTTTGGGCAATGAAATGCTATTTTTCAGCCTAATTAAGTATTTTTTCACCAAAATCACCAGATTAGAAATGAGGGAAATAACAGCAAAAATTTTTTTTTTTTACAAAAAGCATCATACAATCCTGTGGAGAGAAGAGGAATGAATACTGGCATGAAGTTGTCTGAATCTTAGCCCTTTTCCTTAATGTTGAAGTTTGCTGTCTTCATATCACATCAAATTTACTAGCCTCTATGTTATCACACCTGGTGTGGCTATCGCAAATTTACCTAAATTCTTATTCTGGCTGCAAGCAATTGTCACCTATGGGATTACAATGGAAAGGATTTATCCAATAAAGTCATTATAGTTTTCCCAGCCAAACAGTTTTCCCAGTTTGACTGGTTTTTAATCATAACTTCTGATTCTAGAAATAGTCTCCAATTACTTGGCAATCCTAATCTGTTGTCCTAGAAACACAACTATCACTCCTATAATTTCCTTAAATTCTTTCTTCCATTCTTCCCTATCCTGCTTTCTTTATCAGTGTTTGTACTCTGCTTTCCCATTGTTGTTGCTTACTCTATAGAACTGCAAGCCAAAAATTTGGACTCAGTACAACCCTTGGAATCTTCCTGCCAAGTGGAGAATGTTGCATTTTCTGTTCTTTTGTGTCCATTGACTTGAGTTACTTATTTTCACAATTGTTCTGGACAAATCCCTATGAAGTAGATTAATTTTAACATTCATTCCAATTATCCTGATTGTCAGAATGAAAGCTATAAACGCAAAAATCTCAAGGCAACCTACAAACAGACTTGTAATATCTTTCAGGTTCCCAGCTCCCTGGATGCCTTCTATTTGTTTAACTGATATTCACTGTTTGTTGTGCCACGTGTTACAAACTCATCACATTGCCCATAGAATTATAGTCAAGCTCACAGCATTTGTTATTTAGTGATATTGTACCTGCTGTTTAGAAGTTAACTCCTTTCATGTGATTGTTGCTTTGCCACATTATTTGTTCTGTAACCAAACTGAGTGGCATCCTGTATTGTTTCTTTCAGCTGGTAATATTAAAATAGAGACTCAGAGTGATGAAGAGAATGGGCGTGCCTGTGAAATGAATGGGGAAGAATGTGCAGAGGATTTACGAATGCTTGATGCCACAGGAGAGAAAATGAATGGCTCACACAATGGCCCAGGCAGCAAGGCTTTGTCAGGAGTTGGAGGCATTCGACTTCCTAACGGAAAGCTAAAATGTGATATCTGTGGGATAATTTGCATCGGTCCCAATGTGCTCATGGTTCACAAACGAAGCCACACTGGTAAGGCCTGCCATAGTTTTTCCTCTAGTTGACAAGAACTGGCCACATATTAGTAACTAAGACTTATATTCTGTATCATGCATATGTTGCCTCTTCTAAGGTAATGCAGCATTGGTGAGCCTTTGGAACTCATTGTGGTACGTCCTTTTGGCCTGCACAGGAATTGAGACTTCTTCATGGAAGTCCATCTATTGGGCTAAAAATTTTGCCTTTTTTTTTTTTTTGAAACAAAACAAACAAACAAACAAACAAGCCTACCAAAAAAATTGAAAAATCAAATTTAAAAAAGAAGCATAGAAGTCTTGTTTAATTTCTAAGAACTGCTGAAGAAAAACTCATTTGTAGCTAACTCTGAAATTAATGCAGTTTAATGTTTCCAACAAAACAGCAAAGCTTATTATGGGTCAGTAATTATGAAAGTGATTCGAAAAATATATATTAAGAGAACTGTATTGACAGACTTAGTAAAAAAATACTTACATTTCATGTCCGGTGTTTCATGAAGTAAAAACAAGTATTGTCACAGGTCAAATGTGCACTGAAATGTTTCCATGTAAAGATTTTGTGTTCCATAGGGATGGCTTTTCATTATACAGTGCTGTGAAGATTCTTTTCTCAAGTTTTGAATTCTGATTAGTCTCAAAGAGGGCCAAAAATGAAGAGGCTGAAACAAATTTAAAAGTTAGGAGTGAGTCTCACGTTGCCTGATTTAAGATGTCTAAAAATTAGGCTTCCAGTCTAAACTTTAATGTCATTTATAGCTGAAAGAGAAGAACTGAACTGTACTGTTATTTCACAGAAGTTGCTTTGAAAATAAAATTGGGATTTAGCATTTTTACATGAGTATTCCACTGAGAGGGAATTTTAAAATATTTTTAAGGTAAGAATTGATCTATCTTATAGTTACATTTGACTGAAATGGGTGTGCCAATAAACACATAGATATTTTCTTCCTCCATATCCTCACAGTCTTGCTTAAATAACTTTCCCAGAATTACTAAGTAGTGAGATTAACAAAGTGCTTTCAGAGTTAAAAGGGAGAGGATTCCTGAAAAGCCCCACAGTGTGTTCCATTGCCCTCAGTGTTACTGTCTGTCACAGTAACTGTGTCTGTTCAAGCTAATAGAAGCATGCGATCTGTTAGTGTAACATGGGTTAGCCACGCTCAGAAGCAATGCTGTTACATTGCCTGCTTCAAAGTACTCTTAAATTCTCTGTGATAAATCCCTCTGTCAGGGAAGAGCAGATAATTATTGGAAAGGCCACAACTAGTACTCAGAAGAGAGGCTGTAGCCTACTTCCTAGATCTAACAAAGTACTTTTCTTTTCTTTCTTTTCTTTTCTTTTTTCTTTTTTTCTCTTTTCTTTTCCCTTCCCTTCCCTTCCCTTCCCTTCCCTTCCCTTCCCTTCCCTTCCCTTCCCTTCCCTTCCCTTCCCTTCCCTTCCCTTCCCTTCCCTTCCCTTCCCTTCCCTTCCCTTCCCTTCCCTTCCCTTCCCTTCCCTTCCCTTCCCTTCCTTCCCTTCCCTTCCCTTCCCTTCCCTTCCCTTCCCTTCCCTTCCCTTCCCTTCCCTTCCCTTCCCTTCCCTTCCCTTCCCTTCCCTTCCTTTTTCTATATGGTCCTTAAAAAATTGATTAAATGAGCATGTAAAATAAATCGTACATGAGGCCTTTCAAACAGACCCATAGGCTAAAGAGGAAGCTGTAGTGGTTGAAACAATATGTTGCAAGTTGAAATGCACTTAGAGGTAGAAGTTTTTGTGCTTGTTTAAGCAGACTGCTCTTTTGTTAAAAAAAAAAAAAAAAAAAAAAAAACACTGTTGCTGGATCAGAGGAGCTGTTTCAGGTCCCTAAGGGTCCGTGGCAGTGTTTGCACCAGGGCTAAATGGCCTGTGTGAGAACACACCTGACTTTAGGGAGGTGGTGGGCACAGCTGCCTTTGTTTCTCATGAGCTCATTGGTACCCAGCCCGCTGTCTCTCAGCATGAGCTGGACTGCCTGGTCCCTGTGACAATATCCCCAGGGGCCTCCTCATTGTGTGCCTGGTCATTTCCCCCACACAGACCTTCAGATCCCTGAACTTCTTGCCTGGCAGAAGGACCCTTTGCCTGCCAAGAGTGCTTGGGGTGCTACCACACAAAGATTGTCACTTGAAGATTTCTTCACTCTTTGCAGAGCTGTTCCCTTGCCAACTAGACCCTCTTTTTAATAAGGGAATATAGTTAAAGCCTACAGTGGAAGCACCCCACAAGAGGCACTTTGCTCAGGACAACCCTCTTCTTTTACACTCAATAAAACTAAAGGGTGTGAAGTTTTGTCCCTGGGTCCTTCCATGGAAAGAATGCCTTTGCTTTCCCTCCTGCCTCATCCTCAGCTCCTCTCCTGAGCAGCCTCTTTGAATGAGCTCAGATGGTTTTTCAGGGGCTGGCAAAGGAGTGGAAGTTCAGAGCTGGTAGTTTAAATTAAAGGGACGTCATGGGGAAACAGCGGTGACTGCTTTTCCTTTCAGCTGTGCTGTGAAAATTAAAGTCGAAATGGGGTATACTATTACAGACATTTAACTGACTATGCCGAAGCCCATTTCAATACATGCCTGGTGAAGGAATAAGCCTCACAAATTAATTACTTTGTTGCTAATTCATGAAAACCTGCATATTCAGTGAGGTTTTCTTAAATAAATATTTGATAAGTGAACAAAACTCTAGCACACTAAAGTGCCAAAATAAAATGACTGCCTGACCTGATAAAAGACATAATTGTTTTTAATGAACACACCTGCCAAGTGCAGATATGTGGAGCAGCACCTGACATTTCTGCCCTCTCTTATCTGCAGGCAGCTGTACAGCACTGACTGCTTCCTAGCACCTTACTTGTTGCTTATATCTGCAGAGCAAATCCCAGCTCACAGATGCCCAATTCTTCTCACTCTCCTTCCCTTTCAGCACATTCATTTTCTCCAGCATGCCACTGTCTTGTTTGGTGTTTAAGATAAAGGAGATCTTCGAAGCAGAAAGAAATTCCTGCTCCCTGATGCTGAAACCTCAGGGTATATTCAGGGGTCTCTTGCTCACTCTACATTTATCTGCATATACATGCATATCTATGTATGTGTGTGCATAGGTGTATATATTGCCTCCTTATATGTACACTAAATTTAGACACCAGTTAATTCACTCACATCTTGTATCTTGTTACTTGGTTCTGCATGTCTCAAATTTATTTAGAAAGAGAGCTCTGCATGTTAGAGGTCTCTGAGTGTTAGGTGATCTTGTCATTCTTTAAGAAATTAGAAATATTTTACTTAAGATTATAAGTATTCTTCACTGAATAAGTGGTCCAAGGCCCAAGCTCCTACTAAGGCTTGCAAATCACTGCAGTGATTGAATTCAGGGTCCCATTCCAGTTTTTGTTCCTGGGCTTATATTTGGTCATGGCTACATGCCCAGGACAGGTATGTACTGTTCAGACCTGGAGAAAATAATACACTGTTTAGACTATTTAGAAAAAGAGTCATTATGTATTTTTTATTTCCAACCTGTTCCATCCTCATTTTTGGAGGTATCACCACTCCCGGTAACCTTCCATCAGTGGCTGTCAGCATTCTGGCAGGTCTGGGAGTTTTGCTGAGCTCAATAAAGGAGGCATTCTTCACCCCAGTAGTTGCATCATGGACAACTAAGGGCCAGTCAAGCTATATGTAGCTTCAGGGTCTTTTGGTGATAGTGTTGTTCTCCTTCTACAGCAACCTAAGTTCAGACTTCCTTACATCTGATCCCACTATAAGTTCTGTAGAAGTATTTGGTATGCAGTAGTCTCATTTGAAATGCTTCATCCATCTTTTCTACCTAGTGCAAGTCTTCACCCTTTGACTGGGAGGCTAGAGATACATTGCATTCTTACTTTGCTTTACATTTAATTCCTGGAGTACTGATTCTTGTTTTGTTGTTCTTACGGTCCTCTGAGTAAAAATAACAGAAATGAATGCTAGAAAAGCTGCTTAGTAAGAATTAACTATTTCTTCTGAATGTGCCCCTATGCTGATCTGACTTCTTCCATTTACTGTTTTGGTCCATTTCTGAAAAACACTTTCTGCATTGAGTAACTGCCCCAAAGATTAAGTAGTTAAGTAGAGACACTCACCTGTTTTCTCCCTAATCATACCATGCATGGCTTATGAAGTACATTTCTAAGTCCTGTAAGGCTTATGCTGGCATTTTTGCATGCCAGCCCAGCTGAACCAGGTGTGGGTGTAGTTTAGATGAACAGAGTTTCTGTTCATCAAAGAAAGTGAGCTCATTTGTCTTGACAGGCACTATGCTGCTGTGCTTGAAACTGACCAATGAAAATGTCCTGCCACAGGGGGGATTCATTTGACTGCTGAATGCTAAAGCTGCCAGCCCTGATGGCAGAGTTTTTATGTCTTTGGGTTGGGACAGTGCTGCTGTCTGATTGATCTTCAGCTGTTCTGGTGCATTACCCAGAAGTCAAAAATTATCATGCTGCACATATATGCACATGTATGGACATAAAAGGTCATCCTAGGGTGCAAAATTATACATGATGTTTGAGAGAGAAGGAAGAATATTTGTTTTGCTTTCTTTCTTTCAGTATTTTAACTTCAGCACTGAAATCTTAAATATAATGTTATTGTTGAACAAAAAAATTATAACTATGAACAGGTCATCTTTGGACTGTTTCTAATGTTGATGCAGTATAATTACTACAACAGATTGAACTGATGCCAAAGACAAACAAAATTTAGCAAATGTTTTTTACAGGCTAGATTGACTTAGTTGAGGGCTGTAAAGAAACAGGCACGCAGAAGCAGTTATTGCTGATAGAATGCTCTTATGTTAATTTTTCTGTTATTCCTCTCTGGTACAACTGGAAACATATTTTATTTCCCACTGGTTTCAGAAAAGGCCTCATCCGTCTTAAATTAAAAAAAAAAAATACAAGAAAAAACCAGAAAACTCCAGATTAATAAAATACATTGAATTTAAACAACCCTAAAAAGCAAACAACAGCCATATTAATTTTTGCAAAGTCTTTGATTCACTTCCTTGATTACAAGCACCAGTTTAGACAAATCAAGGCTGTGTCTCTTCAACTTTTTCTGTCCAAAGTGTAAACCATCAGAGCCTGTTTGTGCAGCTCCTCTGTTCATACCTTACCTATAGAAGAGTTGGGACTTAGGCATGGAAGTACAGGGCTTCCGTTGCACTGTCTTAACTTCTGTGATTTTACTCTCTAGCTTTCTCTCTTTTCTCTGTCTCTTTCCTGATTTGGCTGCTTAGGGACAGACAGGTAATGGAGAAGAAATTGAAAGGGAAAATACAGGGAAAATGTAAATGAAAAGAAGTTATTATAACTGTTATAATGAAGTGCCTTTCATTTAAATATAAGAATGTAACGCTGAAATGAACTTGTGATCCTGAAATGCATTTTTAATGAGTTTCCTTTTTATTTTGCTGCTTCAGTGGCATATTTTAAAGACCCTTTGAAAAAAGCCACATTAAAAACCCTACCAAATGCCACAACATGCAAAATTGGATATTGGTTTATTCCAAAACTGCTGATCAGGAAGAGTGGCTCTTCAACACAAAATGTTGCAGTCACTTTATTTAAATGAGTTTGAATTTGCATTGTGATGTGCCATTCTGATTTAGAAAAAAAAAATTAGATTTTCAGATCAAATTGACCCAGCCAGTGAAGCATTAAGAAACTGGCAGGTTTAGTCTGAAAGCCTCATGTTATATCAAGCCTGCAGCCGGTGGAAGTCACAGAGCAGCAGTGAGAAAACAACTTTCTCCCTGAAATCTTTTCTCTTGTTACTGCATAAGATTTTTTTGTTCTCACATATTTTCTCCTTCTTCCCATAGGAGAACGCCCTTTCCAGTGCAATCAGTGCGGAGCCTCCTTTACCCAGAAGGGCAACCTCCTGCGCCACATAAAGCTGCACTCAGGTGAAAAGCCCTTCAAGTGTCACCTGTGTAACTATGCTTGCCGCCGCAGGGATGCTCTCACAGGACACCTGAGGACTCACTCAGGTAAGTGAAGGTTTGGGAATAACCAGGGCTGATTATCACCAAGGAGATGGGGGTGGCCACCAATCCTGAGAGCTCTTCTCACCCTGAGTAGCCCCATCTTGGGTTTAACCAAGCTGTGAGCTGGTCACAGTGTGTTAGCAGCAAAGAAATGACTAAACACATGTCACATTCACGACCCTTCACCAGAACTGAGTTTTTTCCCATACATCTTGGCTGATTCAAAGTTTCTGTATTAGAGTTTCATCTTACGAGCCCCATGTGAGTAACCCATTTCATGGAAGTACGAACATGACTTGAGTTGATGAATGTTTTAGGGTTAGAGATAATATAAAGTAGAAACACAATCTTGTATTCTTCTTCAGCCTAAGGAATGAATACTGCCTACAGCATTTAGCAGGATGTATTTGTTGCACATTGTTATTACAAGTACTTTGAAAGAGAGAGTGGGGACATGGCAGAGGGTGGGAGAAAGAAAGATAATAATCTTTCACAAAAGAGGACGCTCGTGGAGTTTTTCAGTGCCTGTCTCAACAGTAATATGGAGATATGAATAAATATTTTTAAATGGCTGCACTTTCCCATTACCATGAACCTCTCATTGTTTGACAGAAGCACAGTCACATACCTTCCTTGAAGTAAAACCAATTTAGCACATTTAAAGTGCCTTTAAAAGCAGAGTGCGATCTCATCTAGTTTCCCAAGCTAAACTGCAAATGCAAATTGCTATTTGGATGGGAGACCTCCAATACACATTGCTGGAATTGACACTGGTAACATTACTTGTGAAAGTTGGTTTTGAGTTTTGGGTGGCAGAAGGGGAGCTCTCAAAGTGATATTTTTGTGCTCCAAAAAAATCAGGAAAATTCTTCTCTAGCACATGTATTGAATAATAATATCCTTAGAGTTGCTCCCAGATTTCAAAAATAATTTCTGTTTGTCTGTTTTTTCCCAGCCTGATTGAGGAAGGCACATATTTTAAATAGCATTTTACCTCTCTCTCTCTTATTTTTATTGATTTTTGATGCACATTTTGAAACATAGTTTTCATGTGTATATATATATATATATATATATATATATATATATATATATATATGACATCTCCCCTAGACACTCTTGATAAACCCTGAGGATTCCATAGTAAAAGAGACAATACCTAAATTATAGATAATGATTAATTCCTGCAACTGGCAAAATGACACCAATACATTATAAATCAAGTTGGATGTCTGAAACTGATTTTCGCCTAAGAATCTGTAAATAAAACTCATATATTAAACAGTGTAACTATCTAAAATTGTGAAATCACATATAGAGGACAGTCTTATCATATTAAGACAGAAAATTCAAGTCCAGAAGTACACAGAAAAGTATTGTTGGTGAAAATTTCCTAGAATTAGCTAGATCTGGATTGGTGTAATACAGAAAATAAATTGACATGCCATTTATCTTGAATTTCCAGAAGCAGAAAACACACAAAATCTAACATGGTCTTAAAAGAATTGAGTTGGTTCTGTTAACACCAGAACTGACATCCAGCCAAGCAAGTCCCTACCTACACCACCAGTTCATCCACTGTCAGTCTCTGTGCAACTGGACACTGCAGAAATTGTTCCCAGCCCTTTGAAGGTGTCTCAGTTCCTAACCTGTGTAGATGCTGTTTTTAAAGATTTAATGTCACAGTCTTTATCTGATCTGAATCACCTAAAATCAGTTTGCAGCACCCATAGAATTGGCCTGTTATTTAAAGATTTACAATCAGTTTTCCATTAGTTGTTTTTCACTTAGACTTTTAAATTGACAAAATCTTCCTTCACCACAGCCTGGCTTTATTTTTGGGGTGGGCTTTTTATCTTTTGTCCTTAACATTGTTAATATGCTGTTGAATGCCTCATCTGGGTCTCATAATGAATTGTGTTTTCTCCAGTTGGCAAACCCCATAAGTGTGGATACTGTGGTCGCAGTTACAAGCAGCGCAGCTCTTTGGAAGAACATAAAGAGCGCTGCCATAACTACCTTCAAACCATTAATCTCTCAAGCAGCATCTATCCAGGTAATAAAAGTGTCTATCTGGGGAATACTGTTGTCCTATCATTAATGCAGAAAAAGGAGTGCAAAAGAATAGGTAGTACCATTTGTGGCAACTTTTGCTTTGGAGAGTCACATACATCCCCCACATGTGTGATACTGTGTCGTGATTTATTCTTTATTTGATATATATTTGGCTGTTTTCTCACTTTTTTTAGCTCCAATAAAATGCCAAAGTACAATTCAAACATGTAGCAAAACACTTGCAAGGCCTGGAAAACATCAGTTTGTCACATCAAGACAATATGGCTACATCACCTCACCGCCTTCTCTTGGAGGCCTATGTGTATTGCAACAAGGCAATACACTTGTGGATCTATTTTTAATAAAGACTTAATTCCACTGTTCTAGTTGGTGCTGCAGAGTTTTCTACACTGTAAATCTCCTCCCCTTCCCAGGGATAGGTTAAAGGGTTTACTTGACCACTGAGACCAACTCGTGTAACAAGGATGAGATATCCGTCTTTGATCTCACTCTGCCAAGCGAGAGGACATAAAGCCAGAGTTATTTAATTTAGACATTTTGACTTGAGACAGTCCAGAATGGCTAATAATTTGTTGACAGCCTTCTTCCCAATCTTCTCTTTGAAAGAAAACTGGGGGGAGGTAAGGACCTTTGTTGAGACTAGTGTAATGATGAAGGTAAAGTCAATTTCTTGGAGAATATCCAAAAACTATACCCAGAAAGAGAGAAAGCAGATATGAGGAATTGGATTATATTTTTTAACAAAGATCCAGAAGATCTGTAAGGGATTGATCACAGTAATTAGCCATATGAAGTCCTCTTGCATGTGCAGTTTTAGATGGAGCAGATTCAGCTTCTATGGTGGAGTTTAAACCCAGCCAGTAACTTCCATTTCCTGCATACCTTTTTAATCCTGTCCATATATGTTATTTAGTTTGTCAAATGACAAAAAATGGAAAGTTCTCTCTGGCCTCTTTGCAATGATGCTTCATTTAATATTTTATATCTGTACAGAACTTGAATGTTTTTACATGCTATCAAATAATGTAAAGTATATGCACATAATGATGGCAGTGAATACAACTGAGATGCTTCTGCAGGCAGCATGTTAGAGCAGTGCCCCTTCTAATTTTATTGAGGGGCTGCAGAATATATGAATAGAAAACCTCAATGTAATAATACGCATTAAGCAGCAATACTTATTTCTCAAAGAGATGACAGGATTTAGAAGCAAATATTCTAGTTTGGGATTTCAGTCTTCAGTGGCACGTCTGCACACTGAATTTGAAAATCTGTGTGAATGAGTATCTGAACTATTACAAAAGTCTTAGTAAAATGAAACTGATGTCAGGAATCATAAACTTTAATAAGAAATGAAACAGTTTTAGAGACTGACTTTTATTTATATCAAATCCTGACAGGAGAGCTTGCACTAGCTTGCAACTAAATATCTAATAACTCAGTGGGATGAAAACTTGGGGAATTAATTAATGCTTTGAAAGAATCACTTCTTCTTGTATATACATGAAAATATATATATTTCTTCTTGCATATTCTTCTTGTATTCTTGTATATTCTATATTTGACTGCTTTTGCAAATTAGAAAAAAATTAAATTAACTAAAGGGTTTAAATCTCATATTTAGCCAAAGGCTTCACTCTTAAAGAAATTTAGTCCTCAGTTAACAAATAAATTCTATACAGTTCTAAAAAAATGAAACTTTCCTGCATTTTTCCTAGTATTTTGCATGATGAAAATGTAGAAAAAAACAGTTGATAATGAGTGGATGCCCTGTGAATTTTACTATAGTCTATGATATACCTAGAAAAGCAAGCAGCTATAATATTACTGTTCTTAAACTATTTCAAGGTGTGATGTGGATCTGTTAGAGCCATTATTCAGACCCCTTTTTCCCCCAGCCTCAAAAAAAAAAAAAAGAAAAGTTTGGTATAAAAATATTTGCTAGACCATCTAATTTGACATTCTGACATAGCAAGACTGTTTTTTACAGCATTTTTAAAATACTTTTGGCAGTATGCATATAAAAAATGTCAGTGGAAAGAACCTAAACTTGTAGAAGTTTTCCATCACCTTGGAAATCTAAAAAAAATGTAATTGAAAAAGAATTCAAATAAGCGAAAGATAGAGTAAAAGGGAGTAAAAAATGGAACAAGGGATTGTACTTACATTTTTAACTTTTATTTTCTCTCTTTAAGAGAAGGAAATATAACACAAAATTGGAACCCGATGAATTTAATGGCAAAATTCTTATTTTATAGGACTATAATCTCACTGTCCATGTGAAGTTCTTCTCTTAGAGATATTACCTGTAGTTCTGCATTTGAGTGGAAGTGTGCTGAAGTCTTACCAGACATAAATAAAAGGAGAAGTAGTTTATTTAGTTTTTAAAGTGTCAATTACAGTTCTTCAGTCACTGGGAATTTTTGTTTGAAAAGTTTTTTTTCACTTTACAGACATCAAATTATAGAGAAAGAGTTATTCATTTGGTAGCAGATTTCAGAGGGTTTCAGTTGCAAGTTCTGGGGATTAGTATATGATTCAATTTGCCCTCTTTTTTAATAACAGTTTTAGAAGTTTGAAAGTTTGACTGTTAAATACATGACTCATCTTCTCTTGAACTGATTAGAAAAGAAATGTTATTGTCTCCTAAACAGATATTCCTTGATCATTTCAACTTTTAACTAAATATTCAGTCTTTTGTGCCCCGGTTGAATGTCTGCCTTAAAACATTCTCTGTAAGTCTCTTCCTGAGGTAATACCTGGAAGCCTTGGTCAGCACAAGATGCTGATGTGTGCTTGTTCGATGATGGCTATGTACCATAAACACCCATTACTCTTCTGCACCTTAATGATTAAATTCTTCTAATTTCCTTCATGGTTCACAATCTATAGTGTCTCATGGGGCTGGAACATAATTCTGTGAAACTCCAAGTTACTGTCATTGCCACTGGCATTTTCATTTCCACTATCACTGTCACTGCAGTATGTGCTGCTGCAGCAGGGACTCAAGAACCAGTTGTGTACTCCTCAGTTTGGTTGCAGGGCACTGTTGAATAGGAAACCTCACTCGTTCCTCACCCATCAGAGCTGATTTCATATATTTCAGGAACAGCAAAATTTTCACAATCATCCTTTTATGGCTGTGGTATATCCTCAGAATAACATTGGATCACATTGATGTGTTCTCAGCTATTGAGAAACACCCAGGTATCAGAGTAATGGGTCCTGTGAACCAGTAAATCCAGTGATAAAACAAATTCTCAGCAGGCACAGATGCAAAAGTGTAGCAGAGTGGAGCACTTAATTTAAACAACTCAAAGAATCAAAGTAAAAAAGTTATCTTTTGTGTCTTCCTTTAATAGCAACTCAAAAGTTCAGGAAAAATATCTATATCTTAGTAGCAGATAAAAGTAAAATTAACCCCTTTTTCTCCCTTGACAAACAAACAAAAAAGACCCCAAGCCTCACAAACAAAAAACCTACTGCTAAACAGCTGTGTTGTGATTTCAGTGCATTTACATTCTCTTAGATGCTGGAAGTCAGAAATACCTTTCCATACCTTTTTCACAATCATTGTTTTGACAGTGCTTTTTTCATACATACCTTTTGTTTCTGCAGGAAAGTACTGAAGTAAAATACATTGAAAACGAAATAGTCTCCTTTTCCTAAAGCCTCACAGTTAAGCTCCTAATTCTACAGAGTCTCAGCAGCAGCAGGAGGTTGGGAAACAGGTTTGAGTATTGGAAATCAGTGTTCCACTAAAAGTGTGATTTTATCAATTAAAATTGTTAAAGTCTAAAATAGCATCAAGGAAGTAATTAAATATTTGCTACAGGATAAAAGGGGCTGGAGACAAGGGTTGGTGTAGCTTGCAAATACATCTTCCACTGCTAGAGTTGAGAAGTTTATCCATTTTTCCTACTGAGGAAGCAATTATCAGACACTGGGAGATGTGCAGAAGGACATTGCAGGGGGTTTCAGTGGGAGAGTGGAAAGATGAACTGCTTTGTGTCCAGGATAAAGATTGGACCTCATCTATTCACAGAAATTAAGAGTGGCTTTAGAACAAAGGGTAAAGTGATTATGTGACATACAGGCAGAAACCTTGCAGTTGTTATCTCATTTTTGTGTCCTAAATGAGGAAAACATGAGCATGTACATAGATTAATCAGCATGAGAGAATTTGTTCCTGAGAGTCAGAATTGTCCTGTGTCTCATATGCTAAGCTCCTTCATCCAGCTGTTGGGAGCTAAAAGACATTGACTGAGAAACCTAAGACAACAGTTCCATTAAAATGGAACCTGCCTAACCCTTCTGATGTCATTTGATTTCAGTCATAAAAGACGAAAGTAACCAGAGTGAAATGGCTGAAGACCTGTGCAAGATAGGGTCAGAAAGAGCCCTCGTGCTGGATAGACTAGCAAGTAACGTCGCCAAACGTAAGAGCTCTATGCCTCAGAAATTTGTGGGTAAGAGTTAAACGTTTGCTGTCTCCTAAAAATAAAATAAAACAAAGCCCCATAAAAAATCTCAGCATTTTTTACTTTTGCTTTATAATTTTACTCGTTTTTCTAAATTAACAATATGTATCTCTATATAAGCAGATACAGAGACGTGTTAGGAGAAAAAAAACAACTAAACATCTCCAGCCTTTTTCCTGCCTTTTTAAAAGCTTACAGACCAGATCATTACAAAAGCTGAACTGGTTTTTGAAGTTGCCTTAAGAACCTGAAGATAAGAATAGAAGTTTCATTTGACCACATTTTCAGAGTTATTTTATTGAAATCTTGAATGACATTCAGATCTGGGCATATTAGTGTTTCTGAAAGCATTTGTGAATAGTTGAATGTAGACTGGGTAATATTCTTCACCCTTTAATAAACTCTCTTTATTTTTACAGCCCAGATTGATATGTCTGAAAACAGTATCTAAATGAAATGTAAACTGTGCACATTCTATGAAGGATGCAAAAACTTCATGCCCATTTGCACATAGCAGTTCTTGTCTTAATAAGAAAAAATTTGACATTAAGCCTATAAAAATGATGGCTACACATATTGTTCTGTTTAGTAGGCCTGTACTAAGTAGGGATTACAGCAGTTTTGTAAGATCCACATACAATATTTTGTAGCTATGGAAGGTAAATAATTCAATAAATTAAAACATGGGAGATCAGATGAGAGCCTATACTCATATCTAGTTAGGTTCTTTTTTAATTCTCTGTACATTTTAAAAATTATTATATAGGAAACAATCAGATTAAAGTCTCTGAAGCAAAATGCACATTAAGAAGGTCTTCAGTCAAAAGTCAAGGAAAAAAAAAGAACCGTTTATAGGACAGAAAATGCAAATATACTTTATTCAACAAGGACACAGGGGTGAAAGGAAAATTAGTATTTCCTAGATAAGGAAAGGGGAGTTTCAGCTATGTCAGGAGGTGCAACAAAAGGTTTTAAATTAAATTCCAAGGCTTTTTTCAAGTCCAAATACAACAGTTCTAGGAGGTAGTCAACAATAGGAAATACTTATGCTTATAAAAGGGCAAAAGTTGTAGTAGAGATAGATACCAAAAATATATCAACTATAATATATATGTGAGGCCTACCAGACTAGTTTAAACACCCTAGTAACTGTTTGCATTAGGCAAGATACTAATTCTATGAAAGCTCCAGGAAGATTAAAAGTGCTTAAATTTAAAAGGTACTAGCAAATATGGTAAATGTAGTGTATCCTTGGGTGTAGACTGGCTATTTCATTCTCTTTTTCTCTGTTCACACTGAGAAACAGTAAAGAAAGCCAGTTTAACTATTAGTTTTAGGAGGGCAGAGTTTCCTGTCAGTTTTTCAGGGTGTAGTGTAGGAAGACAACCTTCTGACAACAGATATTTATGGAAATTTGCTAAGCTTCAAAAGGAAAATTTTTTCTAACAAGAAAATGCTTCCAAATCCTTTTTTTTCCAATCCTCATCTGCTGCTTCATACAATAGAAAAATTCCCAATTAACACAAGGTTGAGCTGGCTGCTGAGGAGAGATTTTGGGTACTAAAACATGCTTATTGTTCCTGTAGATTATCATGTCCCAATACCTGTGCTGAATTCCAGAAAGAAGGAGAAAATGGCATCCTTCACATAAGCAAAGGAGTGTCTTCTGCTTCATGAGTTTTTTCTCAAGACTAAATTAATTACCTTTTAAAAATTAGATTGTTCAACAAATTCAGCCAGTTACCTGTAAAATTTTCTCTGTATTCCAAACTGGAATAGTTCCCAAACCCAGAAGAACTGGGCCGTCCAAACCAGAGAGCGAGAACTCAATGAAAAGTTCATGTGTGGTTATAATGTTTAAAAGAACAAGCAGCCAAGAGAGGGATTAAAAAATACTATGAGAAAAGGTGCCCACATGCAGTGAGTGCATTTTTACTGTTTAAGTACCTGCTGCAAAATCCGGAGCAGTGCAAACCTTGAAGTGCATCAAGCCATTAGCAGTTTAATTTACTTATGCTCTAATAACCACAGAAATGAGCTATTATTTTTAATGAGTGCAAGTATTACTGCATTGCCTAGATATAGAAATTGTGCCTACCTACCCTAACTTTGTGTGTGTTTCAGGCACTTTGCTTGGAAACAAATTTTTCTTATGAACATTTGATTCTCTCAGCACAACTACCAACTGGTTATGCTACATAAAGCAAATACTACCCAAGAATTACATATTAAAATCTTGCTTTCTGGATGCCCAAAATTTTGTTTATAATGAAGGCCAGTCTCATTTTTCAGTGGTGTGCAGTGCCCATGGAATATGAATGATTTTGACTTCATTTTTTCCTCTTTGAATGAAGTGTAGATGTTCATGTTAGGAGAATTTTTCTGTATTTAATTTGAGAGTCTTTTGTAATGCCTATTTTGAATCTTAGGTAACTCTGCCTGAAAAGTATAGCATTATAGAGGATAAATCTGGAATTAAAAAAAAATGCAGCCCAAATTGGCAGAATGATTGGAAAAGAAAACAAGAGGAACTGGAAGCTGGTGTAGTATAGCAGCTAGAAAGTGTCTGTACCCTACATGCCCTATAGGAACGTATGCAATGCTTAGGGTATTTCTTTTTCTGCTTGCAGAGCCTGGAACTGGTATGAAACCATATCTTGTGGGAAATGTAGACCACAGGACTTCCTACACTTTAGCCCCCATCATTGCAAAAGTGTCATGCTAGAAGGTTTTTGGTCTCTTCACTGACTTTGAGTGGTCAATCTGAGTAGAAACTCCATGGAAAATTGTTGATAAATTAATGTGCCGATCTTCTGGTAAAATTTCCATGCTTCTGTTAGCATTTCTTTTGACAAATTAGGACTTTCCAAGACTTAGCAGTAAATTTCATGTTGATTGGGAAATGGTGACAGCACTTTACAGAGATGTTTGTGGCTTTCAGTGTTTCCCAAGATCTGAAGAGCTAGAAAATCCATCCAGACTATCAACAATATGTTATTGGTAGACCACAGGAGCTTGTGAAAATCTTTTACCTCTTTACATTTGCATGAATTTATTAAGGGCCTGGTAATAACTTTGAAGGTTTACACTGTTAAAGTGCTCAAGTCCATAAAATCAGTATCTGTGCATTTAAATAGTTTTTTCCACCCCTAACTTTTTCCTTCTATGTTTTGCTAGCTGTCCAGTAATCTGGGGGAAATTGTAGTGAACCTCAACATTCAATACTGGGGTATCCAGCTAAATATAGATTAGTGCAGTCTGATTTAAAAAAAAAAGAAATATAGATTTACCCCTTACTTAAGGCATCCCATCAGAATCAAAGTTACCAGTAACAAGTAATCTTGCTCTAGATAAGGCTTTCTACCTTGTAGGAAAAATATGCTCCAACTACAAATGCACTTAAATTTTTTCCATGATTCTTGGTTTCTTGTGTATACAAGAACTTTTTGACACAAAATATTTAGGAACATGGGTAGCTTCTGGTGATGTGTCTAACATTGCTTGTGGTAGGTGTGTGGGGATGGTGGCAATATGAAAAATAAAGGTTTTATTGATTTTTCTCCAAAATGACATATATATGACCACATTGCTGATATGGGTTATTTCTAAGAAACGGAAGGTCTGAAACTAAACCATACAATTTCCAGTCTAAGAATGTAATACTTTAGGTAAAAATATTGATAATGTGCTTCATGCTCTGAAACATCAGGCCAAGCATTCTGTGGCCGTGCAGGCACACTGGCTTCAGCAGCCACAAAGGCAGTGGGTGCCTCTGCTCGCTGTAGGAGGCAGATGAGAGACACCAGTGAGAAAGGAGAAAGACATGACAAAGCTCTAGATCTGTAGCTCCCATGATAATGATCTGTATCTCTGTATAATTATTTCCAGAGTTTCTTTCATCCATTTGCTTTTCCAAAACACTCAAATTATTAGGTATGCAAGAAAAGACCACCAACCCGCCACTTTTCTTAGCAGCTTTATTAGAGAACAGTGAATACCTTAGCTGGATTTCAGCGGTAGATTCGGTCAACTCTCCTCTTCCCTGTTTTATTAATCCATTATGTTCATTTCCTCATTCATGTAGAAAAAAGCCACCTAACTCCTCACTGCTTTTCACTGCAGGTGACAAATGCTTGCCTGATCTTCCATATGATGCCAGCATCAACTATGAGAAGGAGAATGAACTCATGCAGACACACGTGATCGACCAGGCCATCAACAATGCCATCAGTTACCTGGGGGCAGAGTCCCTGCGTCCCCTCGTCCAGACACCGCCGGGTGGTTCTGAGGTAGTGCCCGTCATCAGCCCCATGTATCAGCTCCACAAACCTCTCGGGGACAGTCAGATTCGCTCCAACCTCCCTCAGGACAGCGCAGTGGAAAACTTGTTGCTGCTTTCCAAAGCCAAGTCTGTCTCCTCGGAACGAGATGTCTCTCCCAGCAACAGCTGCCAAGACTCAACAGATACAGAGAGCAATAATGAGGAGCGCAGTGGTTTGATTTACCTGCCAAACCACATAGGGGGCCATGCGAGAAATGGCATCTCTATAAAAGAAGAAAACAGGCAATATGATGTCTTGAGAGCGGGTACTGACAATTCCCAGGATGCTTTCAAAGTGATCAGCAGCAATGGGGAGCAAGTAAGGGTTTACAAGTGTGAACACTGTCGAGTCCTTTTCTTGGATCACGTGATGTATACGATCCATATGGGCTGCCACGGGTTCCGTGATCCTTTTGAATGCAACATGTGTGGCTACCACAGCCAGGACAGGTACGAATTCTCTTCCCACATAACTCGAGGGGAGCACCGTTTCCACATGGGTTAAAACACTGGCACAGATCAAGCCTCAACAGCTGTGTTACTGGAGCTGCATGAGCCATGACAGCAACAAAACAAAAGTCAGCTGGACAGTAAAAGTCACAAGAGAATCATAAGTTCAGCAGTGTTCTCCCGCAAGAACAGGGATTTCATTTTGGTAGCATGCATTGCAACTCAGTTTTCTAAAATGAGTTTTTACTGAAAATGTCTGATCACCAAAAACCCTTAGTAATGTAAGTAGGAGTTTTTGTAGTCACATATCTGAAAGCCTTTCCTTGAACTGATGCTTCCTGCAAGCCCCCTTGCCAGAACTCTTAACCACACACAAGGTGCTCCACACAAGGACACAAAAGGCAGCAGTGGCTTTCTCTCTTAGCACCCTGAGTGTAGACCTCTTCTACCAGATGTGTGATTTTTTTTGATTTCCAGTATTATTTTACTATTTTGAGAAGATTGAACTCAACTAAAGATGGAGAGACCCATTTCACATTACTTCATGGACAGCTGGGGTGGGACAGGACTCCCCCCAGCCAGAAGGTTCTGAGCTGCTTTGATGGTAAGAAGAAGAACATTTCCACTGGCAAGGGTGCTACTGGTATTGACAGCACAATATGCCTTGTTTGTGTCACTAGGCAGGCAAGCAGGAATGCAAAAGATAGAAGAAACACCCTTGTAATATACTCTGTGAAGTATGAATTGCATTTAATGTATAGAAAAAGGGTATTGTTGGCTCTTCTTTGAATAAATATTTTCTCTTCCTATCCAATAACCCCCTACTTTTTGTTAAGCAGCCCCTCCTTACTCTGCATATATAAGTTACAATGTATTTAATTTTTCTTTTTCTTTAAAATTTTAGTTATTTAGAACAGTATGATGTACAGTTGAGAAAGTAGATAGGTATATGTGTGGAGAGTCTCCTTAAACACATTTTTCATCTTTTTAAACTGTCTGGAAAATATCCAAATGTCCCTCTCTTAGATAGGAAAAAAATCCCATTTTGCTGGCACAGAAGATGTCCTCATGTAAATTTTGTGGCTCTATTCATAAGTGTTGCACTTGATTTATTTTTAAAGCACTGAGATTAATTAAACCAGCCAGTCAAAATTTGCAGATGTCTCTTTTTTTCCTGGCATTTGCCATTTAATGAGGGACCAAGGTCCACAAAGGTGTGGTGACCCTTTACTTCCTGTCCAACCAGTCATTTCAGTAAGTGCTTTGAGTTGCTTTTACTCCAGTGGAACTAATCTTAAAATACAAAAAATGTTAGATTTTACAGAATAGAGACCAGAGGCTGCACCACATTGCAGAGTGCAGAAAAGTCCACCAAAACTTTATCCATGGTGGGTTTTGCTGTAGGTACTGTAGCTTCAGTTAGAATCAAAACTTCTATGACAAATAGATTTTAACTCCATACACATCTTATAAAAAACCTTTTTTTTTAAAGCTTCTACATAGCTTCCTCTTCTAAATATTTCATTTCCCTGAACACCCTCATGCTTTAAGACTGGGCAAAAATAAATTTTTTGCAGCTGCATGAAAATCTGTCATTGGTGCTGCAATATTTTCTGGGAAACATTCATAAAAACAACCCATCTTATTAACTTAATGTATAAATACTTCTAGTCTGCATAAGGAATAGATATTTTGCAGTAAACACAGTCAAATACCCAACAAGACTAGCAGTCTCATCATACATTTACAGATTTTCCATTCACAAGTGCAGGAAGCACACATATTTACTATAAAACAGATTCGATGGGACCACGAACTGCTTGTACCTGGGCCAGTGTGGCCTGATACTACATTTGCAGCTGTATTTGATAAAAATTTCAGGCATGCTGAGTTCCTTCTGCTTTCACGTTGGCAGGTGTAGGTCAGGAGCAACAACACTGAAGCTGAGGAAGGACACTGATGAAAAAAATGAATCACAAATGTTCATGCCAGCTGTGAGGCACTTGCTTCACTGGACACGTGGGCATGGTGGTATTTTTACACTGAAAATGCAGGAGAGCCTGACAGTGTGGTGGCTTACTAGGACATGTTATCCCCCAAAAATGAGCAGCGTGAACTACAGACCAAGAGGTCATTTCTATTCCCCTTTATTAGAACTCAGTTGCCTTATGGGACTTTATTGATGCTCTTTACTCCCACATTATAACTCAGCTGAGACGTCATTGCTTGTCACCCTCCAGCCCAAGAGGCTGTGCGAGGGCTGGGCGCAAGGAATCCCTGGCCACTTTCACGCCCCAGCCATGGCCTTGTTATCAATGCCTGCTACACATTCTTCTCCAATTCACCTGGCAATAAGGTATTACCAAATATTTTGTATAGGAATGATCTGAAGAGGATTTCCCAGGGGTTAACTTACATGGATGAGTTTCCTTTAATTTTTACTTTTCTTTAAGTACAGTTGGAATGGGTTCATTTTTCATAGCTGTCTGGATACATTCAGTTGTTCGTACCCTTCTCGAATTTTGATTGTTGCCGAACGAGAGGGGACAAAGTAATTTCTGAGCCCTGCTGCAATGTTCTGTGTGAGATCAGACATTGCTTTTTTATTGCTCTTAGACCTCATTCCTGTTCTTCTTAGGTTTAGGTCACTATATATGCCATATCATAATTTCTTCCACCCTTCATTTTAAGACTCCCCCAGCTATACAGGGGAGGGGGACAGCAGCTCACTCAGGTGGTTTTGTTTCTTTGCTTTTACCAAAAACCGACACAAATAAAGCCACGTGCATGAACCGTGTAAACAAGCACAGCTCCAGCAGAGTTCAAGTGTGCCTCAAACACAGCTTTGAAAGGTGATTTCTGATTCCTGGGTAGGTTTGCTATCTTCACCACATCTCTGTGCACACACACACATGTCCGACTCTCGGTGTCGCTCCTCCTGTCCACATGCACATGCCCTCTCTTCGGATTTGTGTATCAATAATATTTTATATACATCTGTATGTGTATATGTAGCTAAAATGGTTGGTATGACATGATGATGCACTGTCACTCACAGTGGGTTTGTTTCCTGGCTCTGGAGTTTTCTTATTTATACTATAACAGAATATGTTGATGTTGTGTAATAAACAGTACAGTAGTATAAGTAAGTATATTAAGATACAGTGTATCAGGGCATAGTCTAAAGGCAGAGCAAATGGCATCCTCTGTTCACTAAAGGGCTTTTTTAGTTATGCTTTTTTTTCAGTGTTTTTTTCTTTTGCTCAAAATCATCTTCAATTTGTTTAGGAACAAGTGGTTCAGTAATTTTATTTATGAACATGTGCAAGGATGGCATGAGAATAGGATGTTGCATCTGTGTACATTGAAACAAACTGTGCCCTCAGAAAAGTTTGTTATCTTCTTTTTTCTCTTTTTTTTTTTTTTGCTATGGTGCAATACCCTGATATGGCTTAGTTCACCTTTTAAATAGTAAATATGTGAGTGGTTTTAAGTTTATATCTGTTTGAAAAAGTAAAAAATAATTGCTTCCCATTCTTCCCCAGGCACTGCCTTTTCTAATGGAAAAAGTTGTAATTCCACCTTTTTTTTTCTGTGGTTTTATATTGTAACTTCATTTTCTTTGAGAATATTGTATTTAAAAAAAAAAAAAGCAATTTCATAAAAATTGGAAATATTATTAAATTATGTCTGTAAACTGATATGTATCTTTTGAGACAAGAGAACAAGATAAAGACCCCAAGCCCCAGAATATTTTTGTTGCTGTCCTCGTGGGTGAAGGAGGTGTTGGGCACAGCTGGAGGCTCTGTGTCTGTGGGTGGTGACTGTGTGGAGGGGACACAGAGTTAGGTGAGGTGCAGGTTGAGAGAGCCCCATGGGGAGGCCATCCATGCTGTCCCTGTACCACAGGGAGTCCCTCTGTGTTTTCCCTGCACCATGGTGAGTCCAACTGTGCTGCCTCGCAATCCAGGCTCCATGGCCAAAAAAAGCCATGCTGTGTCACCACCCTGCCCTCACCTCCTACGTCAGGCAGCCTTGCCCAGCCAGCTCCAGGTCCTGAACTGGCCCCTGCTATCCAGAGTGTCCCTGCCCATCCCAATCTCCCAGGTCCTGCAAGCAGCCAGCTGTTGAGAAGTGCTTCCCCTCCAGCCCTCTCCTCACACCCTTCCCTCCCACCAGCCAGATTGGAGTCATTACAGAACACAATTACTTCTGCATGTAGAGTTATGGTAATTCAAAATAAAACACAGAGAAATTATTTCTACTATTTACCATAACAAAGGTGATTTCTCTGCGGGTGTCCCTCTTCCGATTCCAGCACAGTAAATTTCACATCACATATTAATGCAAACAAGAATCAGTGGGGTTTTTTTCAGAAAAGGCACCATTTATAAAGTTTCAGAAATATTTCCATTTGTTAAACTGTATAATTTTGAACAAAATTGAGATTTAAAAAAAAGAAAAACAACCCCAACACAAACCCTTATGGTATTGCAATTAATTCACTTACAGGTTCCCAAAATCTAAATTTTCCTTAACTTCCTTAAGTTTTTGTGGTATAGTTTCATCATAAACTATGACTACATAATATATGAAGGAGCTAACTTCCTAGTTTCTTTGTTCCCCATCATAGCTGGTTCTCAGTAAATGAAACTACAGATTTCTATTTCAGCTGGTGACTTTTCTCCAAAACAAATATGTTCTGTTTAATAATAATAAACACAAAAATAGACAGAATGTAATATTCTCAATCAGTGTTATTAAAACCTTTAGCTAGAGACATCCACAGAATTAAAAGCAAGTTTATGTACCTAAAAATCTCTTCTGGGTCTCTTACCTATTATGTTTCAAGGACTTCCTTCAAATCAACACATTTATATTTTTTCCTACTCGAACAGCATGATTAAATTACATCAGAAACTGTGGCAGGTGCCAAGATACAAATTGTTACAAAGACAAAACCTACAGCTACCAAGGGTGAGTATTTTCAGCCCCGAGTGCCCAGACCAGCTTCCTAATCCACACATAGGCATCAAAACACCAAAACAGCATTAACCTGTGCTCAACTGACAGCGTTTTTGAAATCAAGAAATACACTACAAGACACACAAATATTTTAGAGATACCAATATGAGAACTCAGAGCCAGACCTGGAGCACGTGGATCTGATAATGTAGCAGTTTCCTGGGTTTTTGATATCGTGTGTGTGTGTGAGTGTGTGTGTGTGAGAGAGAATCACTCAACATCTCACATGGGGAAAGGAGTTAGGAATGCTCCTGACTTTGCCAATACACTGAGGATATTGCACTGCTTTTATCAGCTTGTGAGATGGTCAAAAATAAAGGAAAAGCTTTCACTGACAGCTTTGTGTTTCAGCAGCAGCACTGGCAATTTGAAAACTGAAAATGTGGCAACAGGAAAATGAAAATATTTGATTTCTGAACAAACTGTTCATGCCTGTCTTGTGGGTCAGACTCCAGGGCATCCTTCCCTACTATGGACCAGCCAGGCTGTGTCCACTAATATGAAACACAGGTAGCTTCTTGTCTGGAAGGAAAATTGTACATGACAACAAATTCTGGTCAAAACAAATGTTGAAAGACAAAAATTCCTCACACCTGGCCTGTGGAAGACAACAGAAGTCTTAATCTTAACAGGACATCCCAATTTCTAAATTTTAGCGCTTCTTTATTTTGGCCACACAGACTTTGACTTTTTGGGGCTGCTGAATTGAAGTCACTGCAGCAGCAGACAAGAAGCATTTCTGAAATCCTGCTGTAATGGCCAGTAGATGGGCATGCAGAAAACAGGAAGGACAAAAATTTGTGAAGTTTCACTGAAAGTGGGATAGCTGGAAGTGAGAAATCCAAAGCCAGTCTTCAGACAGCAGGAGTTAATCACATTTAAACAAAAAAAGGCTGCACAAGTATGACTGAAACCCTGCTCTTGCAAAATGAACAGATCCCTGTTAACTGCAGCGAGATTTCCGCTGCATTTATTGTTACAATTGGATTTTTCTTTTCATATAGAGAAAGGTCTCACTGCTTTAAAGCCATCCCAGGACATGGAGCACTTCCTGGTTTTATCTGTCGTGACCACATGTATGAAACATGTGAATAACAGAGGGCAGCTGCCTCTGTTCCTGCCACTGCTGGCGGCTGCAAATCACACAAACCAACGCCTTCCTGTCCCTTGGGAGAGAAGTGAAGGTTCTGGTTTATGAGCAGTTAGAGAATAAAAAAAGGGGAAAAAAAAAGTAGAAAAAAAATCTACACCTTGCAGCAGACAGTGAGGCAGGGGCTGGTGGGGGTGAGGAAGTTAATCAGCCCCAAGCAGGCTGTTCGGGATGAGGCCAAACAGATGGCTCGTCTCCGAAACGGCAAAACGGGAAGCAGATGTGGCCGCCGCTTCTCCCCATGCATAACTGGGAACCAGCCGGTTGGTGAGGAACTTTGCATAACAAGGATAATTTGGTATCAAAACTGTCCCTAGAAGTGATCTGAATGGATCTGGGCACAGTTGACAGTTTTCACTTCTTGTTTCCCACTCAAGGTTCAAGCAGATTAAATCTTAAATGTGACCTGACTGCTTGCCTGGGGTTTCTCCCAGCTTTCTTCTAGGGAAACCTCTGGTGGGAGTTCTCAGGTCTCCACTGAAGCTTTCAGGGCTAAAACCCTGTTGTCTGTTCAGCCAGTTGACATTTTAGTGACCAATTTTAGCATGCTCTGATTTTACAATCTGACGTCCATAAATTTTCAGCAAGCAGCAGAACTGACCTTGAACTCATCTCTTCTATTTGCATTCCTCAAAACTCACAGAACTTGGATACAGGAATGCCAGGGCTTGGATACAGGAGCCTGGGCTAACATCCCCTGTATTCTCTTTATCACTAAGAACAAAGCCAAGGGCCCGAGAGGAGCCTGGCATCCCCTCGTGGGGAGAGATCAACTGCCTGAGGGAGCAGGGATAGGAGCCTCTGGCTGCAAAGCCTCACCAACATGTCAGAGCATTTGCACCTGCCAGCCCTGCATGCACTTTACCAAAATAACTGGGAAAATAACCTGAGTATTGAGGAGGCAGTTTAAAACATAGATGGGATCTGTGCTCCAAGTAAAAGAAGTGTTTTTCTTTTTCTATTCCTTCCTATTTTGTTTCAAATGAGATAGTAATATCAACTTGACTACAGATTTTACTTTGTAGTGTCCCTGTTGCATTGACAAGGATTAAATATGTCATATAAATCAGAAGAGAGATCCACAGAGCTCTTAACATTAAGGGTTGTTCAAATCTGGATTCAAACACTCCAGGTTTATTTCACTGATAGTTGCAGTATAAAAAAATATATCTTTATCACCTTACAGAGATTCCTCAGTGCACCCATGGGACAGAATAGAGACTTACTCTCCATTGTGTTAAAGAAAAAGAAGAGGGTGTAAATACTTGCCAAAAACATATTTGTAGGCAGTAACCAAGGCCCTGTTACATGAATTTCACATTTTTTTTAGCACAGCACATAAGCAATTTACCCCCCCAAGTCCAGCTCTGAAGCATTCACAAACTCTTTATTTTTGCTTTGCATCCAGTCACTTAGTTCCTGGCTAATAATATAGATAGTATTTTATTTGCATAGTCTAGCAAATGCACATGGGAATTGTGCTGAGCACTCGCATGTACGTAGGGGGTTTTTGGACTCATTAAGTATTGGTACAAATTAGAATGGTTACTTCTGCTTTGGAAACATCTGTCTCTCCACCTCTCTGTAATTGAAGCTGAGACACCAACCAGTCTTACAAGGTGTGTTGTAATTATGATATTATGATAGTACCCAACAAGAATTTCTTCGGCAGGAACCAGGGTAAAGCTGAGTAAGTGAGAATACTCAGGCTCCTGAGGAATACCCAGTACCAACAGACCCTGCAGCTGCTTCTCCCTGAGCCACAACTCCATCACCTTTAACTGACCTTTAAACAAAGGTGGGATCATGATCAGCAAAAAGAGCAGAGGAAGAAAAGCTCGAGTGGTTTTAGGAAAACAATGAAATGCATGTGTTAATAGAACAAGTAATTTAAAATTAAGCATCTTCAACAGGATTCCAAAGCCCAGGTCAGGAGAAGGAGACTACAGGCATCTATCTGCCTGAGTTTCATTAACTACTTCTTGATAGCTTGACCATTGGTCACTGAAAGTAGGAGCAAATGTACCAGAAGTGATAGGCAGACCAGAAGGGAAATGAAGGGTGGTAGAAGATTGGGTGGAAAAATTAACACATCAAGTTCAGCAGTGAATAAATTGCTCTCTACCATAAGGGTTATTACTACAGAATTAAGAAAAGCCAAACCCAGTGCATTTCAAGGGAAAAAAAAAATCCACTTTTCTTAATGGCTGTATGCTTATTATAGTGCCTGCTACACTGTGGGAGAGTTGTCCTCTTCTCTTGACTATCCTTAAAACTAAAATCAATTTCTGAACTAAAACTATTCTTCTGTTTAGATTTAAGTGACAACTCCCTACCCCCTACCCTTGCCAAATCCAGGCAGCCAACACAGGTGTTCCTGCTATACATTCACACTTCCTTTTTAGTATCTTCAGTACCTGACAAAGCAGAGAACTGTGTGGTGTAAGTCCCTTTTCAATAATTCCTTTGATCCTCTCATTAATTAAAAAAAAAAAAAAATCATTTCTTACTATCCTGTTCTCTGGAGATACAGAGTCCTGGAGAATATCCATTTTTGTTTCCAACACAGCAGGTAT